GGGGGCAGGGGACAGGGCAGGGCAGGCAGGGCCTGACAACAAGGCAAACTTTGATAAGCAGTTCTCCATAATCACTTCTCAGCAATTATTACAGTTTAACATTATAAAATTAACAAAAATAATATAAAACTCATATTCTGGCGAAATAGCCATATGGCGGCCGAAAACCGTATATTCCCTTCTTGTTCTCCAGCCCGTTTTTGTTCTCCATTCTTTCCAAAAATTGAGACTTTTTTAAAACGCCGCGGGACGCGGGACAAATTGTTGAAAAGCGGGACTGTCCCGCCAAAATTGGGACGTCTGGTCACCCTAAACTAGAGTCATTTTTTAGGAGCAGTTTCAGGGTGTGGGTGTGAGTGGAAAGAATACCACGGAAGGCAAAAAAAGGAACAGAACTTGGGAGTTGACAAGTGGTCTCCAGAGTTTGGGGTGCCTGGGTTAGCTACAGAGAGCAGCCCTGCCCTGCCCCTGTGGGCTGGCACTTCCCTCTGCTGGGCACCTGGCACAGTTGTGGAGGCTCCAGAGGGTGGAAGTTATCTCTACATGTTGGCTCTGGCGTGGGGAGAGGAGGGCTTGATGAGCACTTGTTGGGTGAGCAAAGAATGAATGAATGAATAAATAAATAAATGATTGGAAAAGGCCCAAGAAAGGGAATTCCTAAGCTGTGATGGAGAAAAATAAATATCAGCATGGTCAGTGTTAGGAGCAGTCCCCACCCTGTCTATGTGGCAGTTTGTAGGAACTCAATGGCCTTGTGAAAGAGTGCTGCCTGGCACAAGGGGCATCTTCCTGATCTTCAAGGGCAGAAGGCATCGTGATCCCTCGGTTTCCAGTTTCTTGGGGGCTGCGTGGGCTACAGTGTGGCCAGGATCTGCTCACACACACAGGGGCTTAAAAACAACCAAGATGGAAAGAACTGAGCTGTGCTTTGGGGAACTTCAAGGAATGTGAGCCAGGAGCCATACAAGGTACAGCTCAGAAATAGCAGCACCATCGATTGGGGTCTCATGAGCTAATGTTTTAATTCTGCTCTGACCTCTTTGAACTCTGAGCATCACTTAGCACGCAGCAGGTACATTCCTTGGAATTCAGGATCAGCTCAGCCCATGTTCCCCAGAAGGCGAGACTCTCAACAAGGATTTTCTGAGGAGTATTGTGAGCCAATTCCCCTATTCTTCCAGGTTTGCTGGGATTGTCCCCCAAATGCAGGATTTAAAATGGGTGAAAATATAATTCAGATTGTTGGCTGGTATTTCAAATCTCATTTCATCTTTTGGAATCTGAAGAAAAATGCGTGCCTCTGAATTTCAGCATTTGTCCTTGATCTTTTGGCTTTTAAAGTTATAGTTTTGACCTAAGAGATCCAGATCACTATTTTTTCCTTTCCTTAATAAATATGTCTTGCTTGCTTTTTGTTTGTAGATTTCATAATGTCTCTATGATCCTTTCAAATATGAATATATTGACCATGACGTCTCTGTGCTGACAAAGTCTTAGGATCCAGTGTCTTTCTGCCTTGCCACCCCTCGGAAAAGAGCAGCTCTGAGCAACTGTGGGCAGTGGCTTTGCTCCACTTTCTGGGCAATTTCTTGGCTCTATCTTTTATCTCCTAGACATTTTAATTTCTACATCACATTTTTGATGTCCAAGAGTTTTGTCTTTGAATGATCTTTTAAAACAGGATTTATCTTTTTCTTTGTAGGTATAAATATCTTGTATTTCTTAGTTGTTTATTTTTTAAAGATTAAAAAGCAAATTGAAAGCTCTGTTTGTACTGGGGTTATTCAACTGGAGCACATGTCACCAAATATCAGAAACTATGGGGCTTTTTTTTTTTCTCTGACCTAGAACTGACCCTCATAGCTTCTGTCTGGGCTTGTCCTGCTCAGGGTGACAAAAACTTGCCCTCCAGTTGCTGAACCTCATGATCAATTTCCCAGGGAGTAAACTTCCCCTCTCCTACCAGAATTCTGGAGGCTGTCCCCTGGTTATGTGCCCTTGGGAGCCAAGGCTATGTTCTTGTGCACCCTTTCAGCTGATAGTTTTTGGCCTTGCCCTCCAGAGCTTGATAAATGTTGGGATTCTGCAGCATGAATTGACATATCATTGGTTCCCTCCCTGAGGGCACTTTGGTTTCAGCATCTCCATTTTCAGGAACTGCTTGTCTTCCTCATGTCACTGATACCACTTGTCTGGTGTTGTCTCTTCTCCTGTCTCTTTGACATTGTAAATTTGTATCTTTTATTTCTTAAACCATTTTACAGGGATTTTGGAAGGGAGTGTATTTAAATGCTTGCGTTCAATTTCCAATGTGTAAGTGAACCTTTATCCTAAGCAGCTTTAACAAATTAATAGAGAAAGATCTGAGACACAACCTTAATATAATTAAGCAAAATTTGGAGTTTATTATCTATCAGATTCTAAGGAGAAAATGTTAGAAATGCAGAAATTAGAATTTATAGGTCTTACAAGGTGAAACCTAGAGAAATACTATAGATCATGTGTATTTTGAGTGCCAGATTAGCAACATTAATTCTTTTTCTACCAAAGCAATGTGGTGTGTTAACATACTTCTCTAGATCCTCCCAAACTTTCCATATTTCTGGAAATACATGTCCTGTGAATATGCTCATTCTAGGTTAATTGTTATATATATGTGGGGTGTGTTTCTAAAACATTTTTACCCTACTTCTTTTCTTTCTATGAGAGCAATACAATTCCATTATAGGAAACATTGATAATAAATAGAAGAAATATCCTCCCACCGCCTCCCCAAGTCCCATCAGCAAGAAATTCCGCCCGCTGTCCTCTGGTCTAGGGTTCCCACTAGGTCAGAGCTGGCACTCTTGATCTTCATGGCTGTATCCTCATTTTTTCTAGGACACCGGGGTTGGGAAATCAAGCATTGTGTGTCGATTTGTCCAGGATCACTTTGATCACAACATCAGCCCTACCATTGGGTAAGTTCCTGAATGTTCTTCTTTACGTGGCTTACTTTCAAAGCGCTCAGAGAGGTCACTTTGACTGTGCCCAGGCCTCAGCCAATGAAACTCCATCCTTAGTGGAGACTCTGATGGAAATTCAGGGACTTCCAAGTGTATGTCCAGGCTTAAGGTCCCGGCTAACTTTCCTCATGCCACTACCCAGGTCATTTCCTTGACCTCTGAGAGCATTATTCTGCAAATCATGTTGGCTTTATTTCCAATCAGAAGATGATCCACAGGGCAAATCTCTGGCGTTTGGCTTTAAGTTGCCTGCTGCTAAATCCTAGAATGCCATCTGCCTGCATATCAGAGCAGTCTGGACAGCCTGTGGAGCAGACTGATTTTCCTTTTCTGGATTAATCTAATGTCAGCATTTCCACTCTCCTGCATGGGGAGGGCCAGAGATGGATTGTCTGACTCCGTGCCCCTGACCTGGGAGTCCACAGCCTTTTTCTCTTTTCCTCCCTACTCCCCCTTTTCTCTGGACTCTCTGGCTGGATGTGCTTTTACAGGTGCGCTTTTATACTCTTAGAACTTGGCCTCTCTTATTTTCTAGAGCATGGTTTGTTTTCCTCAGAAGGAAAACAATGTGTCTGCATATCTTGGGAAGCCTGTTGGATTATTGAGGACTGGGGTGGGTGTCTGTATCAAAAGTAGAGAAAATGGACGGTGGGGAATGCGTAGATGCTCAAGAGTACTTGATTAGGCTCGGCGCCTGTGGCTCAAGCGGCTAAGGCGCCAGCCACATACACCTAAGGTGGCGGGTTCGAATCCCCAGCCCGGACCCGCCAAACAACAATGACGGCTGCAACTAAAAAATAGCCAGGCGTTGTGGCGGGCGCCTGTGGTCCCAGCTACTTGGGAGGCTGAGGCAGGAGACTCGCTTGAGCCCAGGAGTTGGAGGTTGCTGTGAGCGTGATGCCATGGCACTCTACTCAGGGGGACAGCTTGAGGCTCTGTCTCAAAAAAAAAAAAAAAAAAGAGTACTTGGTTAATAGGTCAGAGGCTAGAGTTGTTTAGATAGTTTGTAGTCAGGAAATGGCTCAAACAAACATGATTATTAAAAAAATGTTATAAGAATTGTTAAGAGTCTGAGATTTTACCCTATTTGCAGCTTGCACCTTGTTAACAGGTTAATAGTCATAACTTGATAGCCTGCTTCAGTTTCATGGATGCTGGCAGAAAACAGGGGGCTCTTGGGTCAGAGACTGAGGCAGTAGCAGTAGCCAGACTTGTAGTATTATATATTGGTTCCTTGAGCCGACATTCCCATGGGGTGACATGAAGAGTCTGCCAACACCTCACATGCAGTGGACTTCATCATAGGAGTGCAACTGCACATTTAGAGAACCCAAATCTTTTATACTGGGCAGTCAGTATGCCTGTCCTTAGTTTCAGAGGGAGACTGCCTGTCTTTCCCAAGTCTGCTTACTACATAAGTTGGACATCTCTAATCTAAAAATTTGAAATCTGAAAAGCTCTAAAATCTGAAACCTTTTGACTGCCAATTTACAGGGATTTACAGAGCAACTATGGGCAGTGGCTTTGCACTACATCACATTTTTGATGTCCAAGAGTTTTGTCTTTGAATGATCTTTTAAAATAGGATTTATCTTTTTCTTCTGCCAATGTGATGCTCAAAGGTCATACTCAAAAATTGAAATTTCGGATTTGGGATGCTCCTCTGGATAAGAATAATGCAAATATTCCAAAATCTGAAAAAGTGCAAAATCCAAGGCATTTCTAGCACCAGGCATTTTGGGTAAGGGATTCTCTATACCAGAGGTCCTCAAACTTTTTAAACAGGGAGCCAGTTCACTGTCCCTCAGACCACTGGAGGGCCGGACTGCGGGCCCTGGGACAAGTCAGCTGCCTAAGCAGGACAGGTAGCGGAGGCAAAAACACCTGGTGGGCCGGATAAATGTCCTTGGAGGGCCGCATGTGGCCCATGGGCCGTAGTTTGAGAACGCCTGCTTTATACAAATATACTTGAAAAAAGTCTGGAAGAAAGTGCCTCTGTTTGCAAGACGTGCCCAATGCAGGAGACCCAAGGAGGAGTGTCTCCCAACATAGGTACTTATGTAATAAGTATAATTTTTATAGACAAAATTCCTTTCTTTCTTCTCTGGGATATGCTTGTTTTGTTCTTTAATTTTTTGCATGTTTTTGATAATAAAGGCAGACCCACATGAGAATGATTAACTGTGAAGCATGGTTCTGGAAGATGAAGGAGAGATTTTCACCTTCTGCTTTCTAAACTTTTGTTTAAAAATAAGAATGACAAATCTGTATTCCTTTTGTAATGACTTTTTTTAAAAAAAATAAAAAGGCAGTGCATAATTGTACCACAAATTCTGTTCAGTACATGAAAAGGTTATGCATAGCTGTTTGCATCATTATGCCTATAATAGGTATGTCATTTTGATCACTATCTCTTGGCCAAAGGAAGTTGATATGCCAACTTGGATTCAAGAGAGGGGAAATAAATACCATCTTTTGGTGGGACAAGCCACTTGTGGGAGGGGAGGGATCATTGGTACCATTTTGGAAATAATAAAACACAGGTGATAGTGCTTTGTCTAATAAATATATTTTTTGTGGGTTTGGGTTTTGTAAAACTTATATATGACAGTTGACCCTTAAATAATATGAGGTTAGGGGCACCAACCCTTGCACAGTTGCTAAACCACTTATAACTATTGTTTTCCCCATAACTGAACTACTACTATGCTACTGTTGACTGGAAGCCTTTCCCATAACATAAACAATCAATCAACATATATTTCATATGTTATATATATTTTATTCTGTATTCTTACAATAAAATAAGCTAGAAAAAAGAAAATGTTACTAAAAAGAACATCATTCAGGTCTTCTTGTTGTCTTCACACTGAGCAGGCTGAAGAGGAGGAGGAGGGAAAGAGGGGCTGGTCTTGCTGTCTCGGGGCAGTAGACCAGAAGAAAACCCACGTTTAAGTGGACTTGTAAGGTTCAAACCTGCATGTTGTTCCCGCATCAACTTTATATGGAAATTCTCTGTACTTTCTGCTAATTTTTCTGTAAGCCTAAAACTGCTCTAAGAAAGAAAGCCTATTAAAAATTGATGTCCTATTTTTTAAATTTTTAATACTCATTATGAAAAAATTCAGATCATGTAAATATGTATAAAGTAGAAAACGAAGTCAGAATTTTACTAGCTCTCCAATCCCATATTCTTCAATTTCTGTAGCTGATAATTTAGAATTAAAGTACATGTTTAACATAGTTCTCATGTCTTCTCTGGCTATGCAGGTACACAGACAGATACGTATAGAAATGAAAGCTAGCACACGCCACCTGACATGCTACAGCACGTATCCTCAGTTTGCATGGGGCTTCCATGTTCTTTTGTTCATGGCTGTTTGTGTATTTCTTTGACAGAGTTAAGATTAAAGTCTACTTTTTATTATAAAAGTTCATGTTCACTCTTTAAAAATATCCCCAAAACACAGAAGTCATAAAAATAGGAATTACACTGTACATGCAGTTTTTTGACCTTGTGTTTTTTACTTATTTCAAACATTTTCTTATAATGTCACACAATATTCAAAAATGTGATGAAAATTGTCTTTTTTATTATAAAAGCATTATATAGTCATCATAAACAATTGAAAATAAAGAAAACTATAAAGAAAAGGATAAAAATTACCCATAATCTGCCTCTCAGAGGTAACTGCTATAAATATTTGGTGTATTTTCTTCCAGTTTTTTCTTGTATATGTGCGTACAGCTCTGTGTGTATTTTATTCAGCATTATTTGTGAACTTCTTGCCAGTAAATAGTCTTTAAAAACAATGTTTTTAATGGTTGCATTTTCTGTTTAAGGGAGTTAGGTTGTTTGAAAACTGTCTTATTTATAAACAGTTTTGTGCACATCTCTGATTATTCTTTTAGTTTAAATTATTAGTAATGGAATACTTTAGTCCCAGAATAAGAACATAATTAAGGCTTCTGATGCATATTACCAAACTGTTTTTCAGAAAGATTGTCCAAGTTAGCTATTTTTTTTAAGTGTATGTATGATTTGAATTCTGTTCTTTTCCTCTAAACTTCACCATGTAAGCATTTTCTCATGCCTTAAAGCAAGTGGTTCTCAACCTTCCTAATGCTGCGACCCTTTAATATCGTTCCTCTGGGTTGCAACCCACAGGCTGAGAACTGCTGCCTTAAAGGTCTTTGGAAACAGAGCATTCAGTGACCGTAGGGCGACTCTGGTGCTGTTCCACTCTCTACTTCACTCCTCACTGTCCCTTGGGGGTCAGTAAGCTCAGGTCCCCTATCCTCTTCCTTTTCCTGATATAGGTTAATTTCCCAATTTTAAAATTGCTCAGAATTTCCTCTCTGGAATTTTGAGAATAATGTTTTCAAACCTGAGTTTCAGAAAAATAAAGTGAATAGGTACACTTTCTTTGTTAAAAAAAAAAAAAAAGGCTGAACAGAAGATTTGTTTAAGAATACATGCAATCATCATTGCCAGACTTAATATGAAATGTTAAATGTTTTATCCAATTTTTCTTCCTGGATAAGTTTTTCTTTCCTTCCCTGTCAGTTTTAAAAACATAATACCAGAAGAAGAAGGACCAATTCCACGTAGAGCTCCTAAGAGTAAAGTCTTGGAAGTGGGTCTGAAATTAGAGTAGGTGTTTACTGATTTTGCATAGGTCCAATGAATCCAGGTGGGATCTCTGGTGAGCCCTCATGGTTGGGGTCCTTGTGCTGAAGGAGGTACTCTTATTTAGTCGGGCTCTTCTGGCCAACTGTGTGGCTCCTGTCTGCTGGGTTTCCAGAGATATGTGGTATTTGGCTGGGTGGCGCGTGGTGGGCAGAGTGGCCAGGTCCTCCGGAATACACTTTGGGAACAACATCTTGATGACCCAGCATACTACTGTGCCTGTGCGGCTCAGGAGCACTGTCTAAGTGACACATACAGATTTCTT